GAAACATACACAATCAGAAGCGATAAAATTTTGACACACTTAACCGTGGTAAAATTTTGACGTTTCCAAGTTAATCTTTGAAATATGCACTGTAACCATAGCATTTCTAATGCTTTTACTATCTACATAATAATCAAGATTAATTAAAAAGGAATTTCGTAAAAGATGAACTAGTTTTTTTTGATAAATGCGTAGAGCAGCAAACTTTATATCGAAAGAGCCGCGGACCCCTGTGCTAGATCATTGAATAAAAACACTATAAGAAGCCTAACGCTTATGGAAGAAAGCGCGACAAATCCCCTTGCACCCGCATTGGTTGTGACCACCGAACTCTCTTTGCGGTAAATAGGAGGAAAGCAAATTCTCATTCTTCTCAGTTCAAGAATCGACACTATTGACAGTGTTCCCATTATATTCTCAGTTCAATCTCTGTCGCGCTTTATTTCCACGGGGTTAGGCTTCTTATAGTGTTTTTATTCAATGGCTAGATCTAATTTACAACAGGTATACTTCAATCAGTATGAGCACATACAGAAGGGATTAACACCCAGACATTGGTACAGTGTGATATGTATAATCCTATACCTTTTGTTACAGGTCCTGGCTTCTCCAAATAGCTAGCAAGTTGTGTTCCGCTCAACTCTATTTGTTTCTTGTACATAAAATCTGTAAATTTTTCTTTTGCTTTTAACCTCAACGTGTTTGTTTTATACCTGCCCGTTTCTTTAGCATTTGTGTAAGTACTATTCCACGAAGAACCCTTCTTCTGGGAAATACCATTTTGTACTTCGGTTTCTTTATTTTTCTTTATTTATGTTCCGATCCGATGGCTGCCGGCTTTGATTATAGTAGTATCAAATTGAATCAGATCAGATTTATTATTCAATGGTCTAGTATAATAATCAAAGGCTGCCGGCTGCAAATAAAAACAAAGCAGTTTTCATATGAACCAATTTTTCTCATACTGTAAAGGTGGCTTTACACTATAATATTTGTCATATCGAGGCATACGATATTATTTACAGGCCGGAGCGCTGAAAAAGTCACGTGACGTTAGGAGTCATATGAAATACATTACGGCTTATGGAAAATCCGTGCGCGGCTACACTATTTATTTTTTTACTCCGGATCCCTTCAACATAGAGCCACGAAATTTTAATGAGAGCTTGTCAATAGTACACACAATCAAATTATGGTGTTCGTTAATTTTTAATAACACTAAAAATAATTAATTTTTAGGTTTAAAGTTTTGAAGATAAAGCGATGTTAGTAAATCTATGGAACGCCGTTTTACTTTTTATTACGAAAGTTTACAATGTAACATTATAAACAACAGTTAATTTTATTTCCCGATTTATTATGTTTGTTGTTTTTATGTGAAACATTAAATATGTTTGTTTAAAAAACTTCACTTAATTGAAATGATGTATGAATTATATAGCAATGTGTATAACGAAAGTTTAACAATACAAATCAACAAACGAATACATAAACGAACAGTAATATAACTAACTAGAACTAATTCAACAAACATAAAAATTTATTCATATTAAATGTGGGATTAAAATTATAAACAAACATTTTAATTCAACAATCATAATAATTCAATTATTGAAGTGTTGTACAAATATTCCCAACAATCATTTTAATTCAACAATCATATTAATTCGTGCTGTTAAAATCGGAAAGCATTATTTAAAATGATTGTTGAATTAAAATGTTACATGAATTAAAATGTTTGTTGATAATTTTAATTCGTATCTGTGATTGTGCGGAAGTTTCAGGAACTATCCTTTAGTGTATTTGGGTACGTGTATACTAGCGCCTAATTAAAATTATCAACAAACATTTTAATTCATGTAACATTTTAATTCAACAATCATATTAATTCAACAATCATTTTAAAAGATTCTTTTACTACGTCTAACAATAAATATTTATTTGTTTGTTGAATTAAAGTGATTGTTGAAAATATTCGGCTTCAATTTTCAAATCGTCGAATTTATATGACTGATGAATTAAAATGTTTGTTGATAATTTTAATTCCACATTTAAAATGAATGAATTTTTATGTTTGTTGGACAAAATCGTTTTATTAATCGAAGTATTTCTTGCAATTCAATTTAATTGTTTGTTATTAATTGTTTGTTGAAATACAGTTTCATATACCCTCATTCAATATAACAATATAATTCATTTCACATTTTTATTAAGTAACATTTTTTAAACAATCATATTTAATACGTAAGACAATAACAACAAACGTAAAAAGTGGAGGCATACGATTGACTGTTATTTAAAATGGCACATTGTAAAATTTTGGAATAAAATTGTACAAATATTTTCAGAGAACATTTTAATTCAACAATCATATGAATTCATGCTGTTAAAATCGGCAAGAATTATTTAAAGTGATTGTTGAATTAAAATGTTACATTAATTAAAATGATAGCGCAAAGGAATTATTATGTTTCAATTAATTAATAGTAATCGATTTTTAAATTGTGTTTGTGACATTTAAATTTACATTAAACTTATAAAATTAAAAATATTATCAATCAAAAGTATGGAGTATATCTTATATCTTCGTTACATGAATTTTGCAGTACATAAAGTATTTTAGTTATACCTACCTACTCGTATGAAAGTGAAATGGGAAATTTGTTTTGTCCGCCTATGAGGTCTGGTAAGTATCGTAGGCTTTCATTATCATTCTATGAATAAATAAAAATAACCTTTTAATAAGGAAGCTTTAAAAAATAACTTTTTCAGCGGAGATCCCCGACGGGGCTCTCGTGGACCGTAAATAGGAAAGTTGGGTTTTGAGTATGCCCAGTACGATTTTTGAAAAATCGCGCCGGGCATACCCAAAAGCCAACTTTCCTATTTACGGAGCGATTTGCACGAAATTTTGGTGATAGGTTCTTCTAACAAAATGCGGTAAAAAATGCTTTTTAGCGCATTTTTGCAAATTTATTTGTAAAAAGTAGCTTTTAATCTCACTTTGGCTGGCTGGCTGGCTGCAAATGTGGGCGCGTAGAAGAACTCTTGTAGAAAGGCAACGGGTATACGTGTATCTACAAGGCCGTGAAATTTGTCAACCTTAGGGACATGGCTACATGATGTGGGGTTGGCGACATCTGGGCGTCATCCTCGAGCGTAGTATACTAACGTGAAGGTTTTTCAGTTTTTTCCTATCTTCTACTACAGTTTTGGTCCGATTCTTTTCAAATTGGTGTCGTCGGAAAGATGTTGTAAACGCGCACAACTCCTGCGTGGCGGAATTTTGTTTTTTGTCCTAGGGGCGAAATTAACGACCTTTTGCGAGGCGCGCGCGCGCGTCTTCGAGAAGTAGTCAACTTCGCCTTTTACCTTCCGTTGCGAACTCACGCGGTTTAACGTTTCGTAAATCTCGAATCGCTGTCTCTCTTTCTTGTGTCGCCAATAGAAGCGAATTGCGGGTGAACGGGACGTCGTAAGTGGCTACCGTCAAAGGGAATGTGGTAGCCCCCGACACGATTTTAACTTTAAAAGCGAATTGCGGGTGCACGCGGAAAGTGGGAAACGGTTAGTGAATGTAGTAGCCTTCGACAAGATCTGTTATTGATGGTTGAGTCGAAAGTGGCTAATAGAATACTGATCTGCCACACAAAAATGCGCTGAAGTCCCTTCGATCTCACACGAGGACTTTGATAATTTTTTAAATTTACGTTTACCTCGACGCCAATTGTAATATATGTATTAGGTACCTCTTTATGTTTTTTATTTATATTACGGAAAGAGTGCATTACAAACGGACACAACCAATGTTTATAACTTTATTTTACTTTAATAAGCCAATCGAATGCGTCGAGTCACCATGAATGACATTCACTGACATTTATAATATATAGGTACTTATAACCATATATATAAGATATATGCTTATAACTTCAAGAATCAAGTATGCGAGTATGTAAGTGAGAAATGGAGTAGCGCCATGTTTTTACCAAATGCACCTGGTTGGTAACCTAGGAACAAATGTAAAAATATCATAGTACCTATCACCATAGTAAAATTTAAATTTAAATTGGCCGCGTGCACGATACATTTACAAACGGTATGCTTATTAAATTTCTCAAACGCGTTTCCTACTGTGCATTAGGTCACGTGCGAACGTGTGGCGCCAAAATTACTTTAAAATTACCATGCAATAATGAAAATCAAAATAAAAGGAAAAAAAGTGTATCGTGGACGCAAATCAATACTAATTGAAATTAGGTTGTGTCATGTGGCAACTGTTTCAAACGTACCTGATTTATGTAGGTTGTATACAAAATAATGTAGCACTCAAAATATGTGATTCTCCCATAAGCTCAATGATAAATTTGAAAAAAAAATGGCGGATATGATCCTATGGCCACCTGTCTCTATAGAACGTCACTGTATACCTAAATGTGTAACCCATAAGATGCAATAAGGTTAGCAATCTGTTGTATGTGTATTTGTGCTATAGCTAACAAATATGAGTTATTTTCGACTGCATATTCTTCATAAATGCTAAAATCTGTCGTATTTGTGGCTTGTGCACTATCAAATGTCATTTATTATACCATCTTGTGTTTAATTCAGGGACTATGAAAAATAAGTAATAACTAGAGAGCGGATTTCTAGGTTTTATGCTTTTTGTGAATACTGTAAGCATGTCAGAATTGTTTAAAGTAATCATCTAGTTTTGATATTTGAAATCGTATAGTAAAAGTTTGTTATGCTTATTTTGCTTTTTTTGACAATTTGTGCTTATTAATGTTTATATGCTTTTTTAAAGCTTTTTATCCAATTCACAACGAAATATGGTTTTTTGTATATTTTTTACATAAACACAGTATTAACAATTTTGTATAGGAAACTGTCGTGGATTGTGTGCCGTATTTTTAATTTTAGTATGAATGAAAAACCTGTATGATTATTGGTCTTTGTATATCAGTTGATGTCAATTTTAAACAAACATGTCAAAAGTGCTTTTAAAGTTTATTTATAAATTAGATATGATTTTTTCAAATGTATTTCATTATTTATGAATGAAATCGATGTTAGTAATCTCAAAATCGTACAGTAAAATGCATAGAAAGTATATTTACCTAATTGTTTTATAATCAAATGTTATCAATTTCTAAAATTATATGCTCAATGTGTGTACTGTAAATAATGGATTTACCTATGCTTGTAACTTTTATTTTGTTGTGCTTGCTGTCTTCATCGAAATGTACTGAAGAATGCCCGAAAAATTGCGTTTGTAAGCATAGCACGCATAGGGAAGGACCGGATTGGATCAAAGTTCGTTGCGGTGATACTGTACCTGTTAGTTATTTAGAAGAATTGGATTTATTGAATATAGCCAGTGAAATCGTTCAACTGTAAGTATTTACAACTTTAATAGTATGATCATACATTTTGTATTTCACAGGAATTTATCACGTAACCATTTAACTACCTTTACCCCAAAGATACAGTTTCTAGCTTTACAAAAATTGTGAGTATCAAAACTATCTCCTGTTGGGTGAATTACCGTTTATCTGTTTTCAGAGATCTTAGTAAAAACAGGCTTACAGCTTTATATAATAATCAATTCATCGAAGTGCCAAATTTAAGAAGACTTGACATATCTGGAAATAACATAAATCATATTGAATTATTAGCATTTGCAACTTTAAATCAATTAGAACGGATTAAATTGAACCAAAACTACATCAACACAATCGAAAAGGGTACATTCAAGTTTTTAGAAGCACTAAAGCAACTGTACGTATTTATCGTGAGTTTAGGATAATTAACTGATTTGTGTTTTAGGGACATATCTGATAACCCATTGACGTGTAATTGTGAGCTGCTATGGCTGCTGGAATGGGCGCAAAAAGCTTCAGTAAAATTGATCTCAAATCCGCGCTGCAGCTCGCCGTCAACTTTTAAAGGCATTCCTTTGCGCAAGCTACAAATTGGTATCGATATACACTGCAAGTCTCCTGCGGGCAGTAGAGAATTGCCACTGCTTGATCTTGTACCAAATCACAATCAAGTCCTTTTTGAAGGGGACTCCGTGGAGATATCGTGCAGAACACCTACCATATTTGAAAGCTTTGATGCGGCAGATGTACAGAATAATCTGTATTGGGTGTGGTCAGATTTGGACGTTACCAAACATTTCAGTAACGTCCACATTGAAAATCATTACTCTGTTGAAAGTGGGCTGCTGTCCAGTACTTTAAAAATATCATCGATAACTCATAATCAAGGGGGAATGTGGAATTGTAAGCTAAGTTCAAATAATTATTCCCAGGGGGTCGGACTGATCGTAATATCGGAAAAAACAAAATTTTGTTCTATAATGAAAACGGACAATAATAAAGGCTCATACATATGGCCACAGACTGTGGTAAATAATACAGTTCATCTGCCTTGTAATTTGATTCAAACCAATAGAGAAATAGTGCAACAGAAGGCCTCATATTTCTGCTCAATATCCGGTGAATGGAAAAATTTGAATACATCATTATGTGCCTATGTTTCCGAAGTGACGAAAATACTTGAGCAATTTTCGAAAGCAAATTTAACAAAGGAGAATGCATTTGAGAGCATAAAACATTTGAAGAATTACACTTTTAACTTGAAGACTTTTAAAGACATCACAGATTTGGAGTTTATAATACAAACCTTGGAGAAGTATCTAAATTTATTACCTGAAGAAAAAGAACTCCCAAGTCTCATGATGGATATTTTGAATCATCTGTTGTATTTGTCGAAGATGTATTTGGAGGAATCCGAAATTGTTTATAACACCTCATCAAAAATTATCGATCTTATAGAAACGATCGCGAGTTATGTGACAGTACCAATTTTACACAGAGTAAGTATAAAGTAGATCGAAATTTATTTCTTGGAGCTTTGTTTTCACTTCTAAGGGTACAATGCACTGTTTTAATGTGCCTATGGAGTAACACATTCATGAGAAAATCTACATGACATATCATTTTCTATGGGCCTATTGTTAAAGACTGATCAATATTGGTATTTGTTTATAGAGTAAAGTAGATCATCTGTAGGAAGGTATATTTTTTATATCTTACAGTTTTTTAGCCAATTAGGTAACCCCTTTGTCCAAGATTACGCTGACGCACTTCAGTAGTCAGTGCACAAAGTATGCAGCGTACTTTGGCGAAATAAATTGGTCATAATCGTATTAGATTTTACTTTACAAATCTACTGTAGTAGACGACCGACCAGTGCGGTAGTCTTGGAGGAAAGTTACGAAATTGCCAGCGGCACCAGGAGTTTGTGGGCCCTTACTCCTGGTCATGGTCGATCCGATTAAACGCTACAGTAGAATGTGAAAATTCAACGACAACATGATGACGCCAAAAGATGCAAAAAGATCCCCTCTAAATGACGGCCTCATCTTTTATAGGATTCGGAAATTTGTGGTTTTCCCATGTGGTACGACGTACTGGGGCGATAACGTTCAAAAATTGAAACATCTTTAATTAATATTAATTCCTTGTTATCAGAAAAATCTCAGACCAGTCTTAAAGCTCATGCTATTTAAGTGCGCTTCATTAGACACCAAACACAACCTAATCAGGCGAGGTTTCTGCAACACATATTAGCTACTGATAATTATACTCACTCAAATGGCCGGACTGAAATTTCCAAATTCGGTAGTCCAGTTAACACCCATTGGTGGTTGGATTCTCAGGTCAAACGAGAGGTCTGCTTACCTATCGTACTACGGCGACCTTTTCCGTTTCTATCCTAGTTTTCAATTAGCTTTGCGAAACTAAGATCTTGTAATAATTGATAAACGGAACGGAAATTACAAAGTATTAATTTTCTCGTCTTCCAAATAACGGGAGCTTTTGGTTTTACAAATTAAACCACTTAAGCCTACCTAGAAGAGAAGTAGGTAAATAGATCCGGAAGCTTCATTAAAGCATGAACGAAAATGAGTGCTTCGTTACAACACGGTTACTAATTGCAATATTGAGAACATTTTTGACGCGTTTAAATCTTCTTAACGCAACTGTACGCCTGCAGGCGTCCAGAGTTTGGGGTCCGTCGTCAGATCTGGTAGCAATTTTACTTTTATGAGATGAAGAAGATGCCGATATTTGGTGGTTACTCTCCATACGAGAGGAGAGGAAATCTATGAACTGTCCAAATGTAGGAGCCATGTAGGTTGTTATTGAATCCTTATTTTAAAAATTGGTCTAAATATCCACAATGAACTTTTGAAGATTTTAAATTTTTGTTGATAATTAAACAGAAAAATCGTTTGTATACAGGGTGCCTATTATGTATGAAATATGTATAGTGTGTATTTCGGTAAATAACTACTACAAAATTTCTCAGGTCTAGGACACTTCGGCAATTGCCCACACGCGGACACGATATTTTGAATAACAAAAAATTTAAGTCGATATTATGATACTTGCAATAATGCTTATTAATTGTAATGGAACTCTACTAAATAGTATATTAAGAAACAAGTGTATAATCAAGTCTTTAAAGCACGCGCAACGAGTTTAATGGCACGACGCGAAGCGGAGTGCCTTTAACGTTGCAAGTGCTTTAAAGACCAATTATACACGTGTATCTTATAGTATTTTTTATCATACCTGCAGTATAATTTAAAAATAGGAAATACAATAAAGTCATATTGACGTTATACTCGAATACATGTCTAATTAAGTGGGCTGGGTGTTCGTAATTTCACGATTGCCATGGAAATGTTACTTGACGTTTGCTTATAAAAATCATCGTCTTTGTGAATAACGATTTCCGTTGAAAAAGGTAATACACCGTCCATTAAATCGCTTGTTGTAAAATCTAAACAAACGTTGCGGTAGGTGTAAAATCCAAATCCAGTAAATCCTATTATAAAGAATGAAAAGTTGTTTCCATGGATGAGTAGGAAGTTACTTACGAATAAAGATTGGTTACGTTGCGCTAATAAGCCCCCCAGGTATGATCATGAAATTGATAGAAATGGATAGAGGACACCTTAATTACATGTTATCAGTTAAAAAATTTGCGGAAGAAGCCTTACATTTTCCACAATCTTCATTCAAAGTTCACTTCATTTCGTCGTAAGTGAGGTTATATTACTCCAATTTCATGATTGTTTTTCAGTTGGTACTGATGTTCTCAACATTCCTGAGTGCCAACTTTAGTTAGTTTCTTAAGAGGTTATGCTATTTTTCCACGATTTAATTAACTTTAAACAATGATATTCAACTTTATACATGTTTTTAATTATACCATAATAGCAGTAAGTAGTTCTCTACATCCTACATTGCTAAGCAGCGATTCATAAGGGTTCCAAGTTAAGCGGTGATTGCTAACGTAGCTGCGATCCATGGATCCATGGAAAATGCGACTGATGTCCCTTCCCCTCTCGACCGTATTAGGCGGTGGATGCTAAGAGGCGATTGATACGAAAAAGGCATTCCAAGTTAAGCGGCGATCGCTAACGTAGCTGCGATCCATGGAAAATGCGAGAGATGTTCCTTCCCCTCTCGAGCGTATTAGGCGGTGGATGGTAAGCGGCGATCGATACGAAAAATGCGTTCCAAGTTAAGCGGCGATCGCTAACGTAGCTGCGATCCATGGAAAATGCGAGAGATGTTCCTTCCCCTCTGGACCGTATTAGGCGGTGGAGGCTAAGCGGCGATCGATACGAAAAAGGCGTTCCAAGTTAAGCGGCGATCGCTAACGTAGCTGCGATCCATGGAAAATGCGAGAGATGTTCCTTCCCCTCTCGAGCGTATTAGGCGGTGGATGCAAAGCGGCGATCGATACGAAAAATGCGTTCCAAGTTAAGCGGCGATCGCTAACGTAGCTGCGATCCATGGAAAATGCGAGAGATGTTCCTTCCCCTCTGGACCGTATTAGGCGGTGGAGGCTAAGCGGCGATCGATACGAAAAAGGCGTTCCAAGTTAAGCGGCGATCGCTAACGTAGCTGCGATCCATGGAAAATGCGAGAGATGTTCCTTCCCCTCTGGACCGTATTAGGCAGTGGATGCTAAGCGTCGATTCATATGAAACATGCAGGAAGTGCCTGGGTTTCCCCTCTCGGTGATCGATACCAAGAAATTTTTGCCACATGCAACCTTCTCTACGACATCCTTCTTCCCTAATGCATTCAAGTTTAGACTGTATAAGCTTCAAAAAGTGGTGTTATTAAAATGTCAGTCACATGGAAGTGTCGCTTATTTGGTGTTTAAGTCGAACAAAACCTAAAATTGAATTGTATATTATACCTGTTGTACTACTTTTATTACATTCTGTTAATATACACTTTAAATCCAGCATATTTCATTGTAGACGAAGAAGTTAACATAACCTCCTACAAAAATTTACTGTCACCTTTGTTTATTAGTGGAAAAAGAGCAATCACATAAAATTTTTCAGTTTCGCCAACTTAAGAATTACAAAATATACGTAAAATAACACCAGATTTCCAGAAAATGAGGTGAACTTTTAATTAAGATTGTGGAAAATTTAGGCCCTCTTCCGCAAATTTTTTTAATCTAAACGTGTTATTAAGGTGTCCTCTATCCATTTCATGATCATACCTGGGGGGCTTATTAGCGTAACGTACCCTAAAGATTTAAATGCATCGATAATGCTGGCATATATGAAGGAAATGTCAAAGGTATTTAAATCTTCTATCTTTTGGTGCATTCATTCAAAACTTCAAACAATGCTGCGATTAAAAAGTGGAACAGATTTGGCAGCATACCCTAAATTACGCGCGTTTGTGAAAGCTTCAACCAAAGGATAGGTACAAGCCAAAGAAATGTTCTGCATTTACAGAAAGCGACCTAGGAAGATTTTTTATTTCAGCGCCAGATGACAGTTTCAAAAGTCCTTACTTGAAGTATCATTACCTAGCAACTTTAAAGCACGTGCGTTTTAAAGGCCTTTTTTCGCACGCATTTGAGTATTTGAGATTGTGATTCAGGTATAATAAAAAAGGATTTTCTCACCACCCGCAGCCACGGAATTTTTGGAATCGAATTTGCAGAGTTGAATACCATGATCGACATATCGAATTTTTTATGATGATTTATTCATGATATCGACTAAAACCGTTTGTTATTTGCAACATTTTCAATTAACCACATGCGAAATTAGATCACTCACTAGTAGGCTGGGGACACTGTAACCCGAAGGCCCAATCTTCAAATGAGTATTTAAAAAACTGTTCGACAATTTTGTTCCTTAACTCAACAACAAATTTCGTGGAACTCTCTCCATTTTCGTTGACCGGCCAAGAATTGCAGTGGAACTTTTTTTTCGAATTTTCAAAAACTAATTCCAGATTCGTCATTTTCATGTTGAAAAAGCCCCAGATGCGAAATTTCGTCGAAATCAGAATTTTTTTTCGCACCCTCAAGAAGGGGTGCGCTCTTTCATGTTAGGAATTTTAAATTTTTTTTCAAAATCGGATAGGGCATACCCGAAAACCTATTCAAAGGCGTGCCACCCATCTTTGTAACTCTTATGGTTGCTGAGAAAAAAAAAGTTAAAAAAGAAATCCAAATTTCACCACTTCTTTGAGGGTGGCTCCCAAACGACTGGACCCTCGGTTTATTTGGAAATAGTGTTTGTCTTGATCCCCTCTATTACCAAATTTTTTTTTACATGCGGTCATGTAACACCCTCCATAAACACCAGTTATTGAAAAAGTTGCTTCATAAAGGATTTAACTTCTTTGATAGGACAGGTATGAACATTTGTCCAAAGATTCTAAAGAATGCCAATTTTCAATTCCCACAGATACATCAAAAAGAGGGTTATGAAAATTCTGGTGGCGCCATCTTGAATTTCACAAAAAGTAGCATGCGATACGCCGTCGTGAAAAACGCAATCCGCTCTTTAAAGATAAGATACCCCCCAAAAGTGCGGAAATTTTCGAATTGATAAGATTAATTAAAACACAGTTGAAACCATTTGAATAGATGAACATTTTGGGAATATTGCTGTTTGCCGCAGTTAAAACAAAAGTTCATGTTACGCGAAAAATAGGTAATACTGTATCTATGTTCCTTGCATTATTTCGATGTTATCTTGCTAAAAAATGTTTATAGTATGTGTTGCGAATAAGTCTACTAACCTTCTGTTTTATCTCATACAATATTTATTTCCAAAAACATTTTCCACTATCAAAGAGCCAACATTACACCCGTAATTCAAACAAAGCGAGTGTCTTTTGAATCGAGCTGCAATCAAAGGAGTGAAGTTACGAAGTATCACCGTTTGGTGTCTGTGTTGTGTTATAGTTATAGAAAGCGCAAATGACCGGATATTTTGGATTATTAACATTTTAAAAGTTTAGAGTAATTAAGACTTCTTGAATTAATTGTTTCAATCGATCGCTTGTGTCGTGGTATGTGTATTCTGGCCCTGAGTGCCCATTTTTATTTCAGCCTTATTTGTTTGATTTTGCCTAATAAATTTGTTTTATCTGTAAGTGTTGCTGTGTTGTCGAGGTCAAATTACGATCTAGATAGGAGTTTTTATGCTAAATTGTTTCTGTTTGGACTTAAGAGAGGCACTAGGTGTCTAAATAAACGTTTCTAATATAATTGTTTGAAATTGTGGAGTTGATCAAGGCTGCCGAGTTTGCTCAAATTAATACACTTAAAGTCTTATCGAGATTTTTAGTTGTGGTGGATACTATGGACGTGCCCTGGAGGAATTATATAATTAATCATTTCGTATAAAAGATTTGTGAGTACATGTGTTAGTTTGCTATTGTACAATACCTTGTAACGGGCGACCAAAAATGAGTTGCAGTCGAGTCACTTTTGGAAGTTCAATTTAAGTACGATTTTCCACGTAAAAAAAAATTCCAAAGGTAACTTGATAGCATCTCATTTTTGATCGCATAGTATTACAGTATTACAAGGCTTTTTGGTTTTCGTTCACTAGGGTTTGTACGCTAAAAAACAGACACGTCAATCATCCAATTTATCGCCCATTACAAAATTTAGTTCTTTTTATTTGCTTGCGTCAGATAAAGACTTAGTTAACGCCTACTGGTCTTATACAATATAGCCATCTCTATTTATTGTGTACAAATAAACAGAATTTGACGTTTTAGGATGTAAGGTTTCAATTGATTCAATTTGCTCAATAAAAATTTTGGGGATCAATCACCTCGAACAAAAAACAAAGGACCAAGACCTACTACAAGCCCTAACACATTAATGTTCGGACACCACACATATTTGATAGTTTGATCTAGATAGCAGGAGAAAAACAAAAAATAATAACTTTTATAACCTGTCAGTACACTTTGACATTTTGTTAAAAGAAAAAATGGCACGTGGCAAAGCGACACGGAAAGAAATTCGACAATTAATAGTAAAATGGTTTCATAAGGGAAAATCCTTCAGGACAATAGGTCAGCAATTCAATTTGTCCATGTCCACGGTGGCAGATATTGTAACAAAGTATGGGAACACAGCATCAATCGAAGTTGCAGGAAAGAGCACAGGAAAACGGCCAAAAGTTGCCCTTAGAATGCAAAGAGCGCTGGTAACCATTTGCAAATCTGGACGAAGAGACACAGTACGGAATCTTACGATAAAATGGAACGAAGTAACAAATGCTCATCTTTCTCGCTAAACCTGTCGAAGGTGGATTCACAAATCAGGTTTACATGTTTATAAAGTAAGTGGATCTTTAGATTAAAATTAGTGAGCCTTAGAAAATACTTTTTTAAAGAGGCGAAAGAAAAACACCTTTAAACAGAAAAACAATAAAGAATCTCGATTTGATATCAGTGTAGGCGATAATCGAGAAAGAGTTATCCAAACGGAAAACAAAGCATTTCACAAAGATTGCTTAAAGCGTTCTGTAAAATTCCCCAGTGGTGTAATGATGTGGGGCAGTATGTCTGCAAATGGGCTGGGACAATTGCACTTTATAAATGGTAATGTTTATGCTCAGAAATATCAAGCAATTTTTAAACAAAGTAGATTGCCTTTACTTTCAATATTTTCACCTGATGCAGACTTTGTTTTTCAACAAGACGGAGCATCATGTCACAGCAAAAAACGACTAAGAAATGGTTACAAGACCACAATAATAGTGTTTTAGACTTTAGAGGCAGCAGTCCAGATCTCAATGTCATTGAGGCAGTGTGACATAAAATGAAACAACGTTTGCGTATTCACCCGCAGTGTAATATTGCTTCTTTGAGTGAAACATTACAAGAGATTTGGGATACCTTTGGCACCGATCAATGTAAAACTCTTGTGACGACCATGCCTACACGAATTCAGGCTGTTATTAAAGCCAAAGGGGATGTAATTCATTATTAAGGGGTAGTGTCCGAACATTTTTGTGTCACTTTAAATTCTAATTTTATGGTGTTTTGTGTTATTTGATGTTTGTAATTAATTAATTTTGCAACAAAATATAAAATGACAGTTACTAAATATGTTTAATTTATAACTATAGTAAGAAAAAAATAATAATAAAACATACAACGATTTTAAGTTATAATGTTTTTAAAATTTTGAGTGTCCGAACATTTATGTGTTAGGGCTCGTAGTACCTCACACTTTATTTTACTTTTATTTATAACTCGTGAAATTGATTAATACAAAAAAATTTGTTTTAGTCTAATGTTGCCGTTGAAGAATTCTCTGTAAAGCAAGAACTATTTGTTGGATTAACATGCACATGGTATACAAACTTGTTTAACAACACTGACAGATTATTTTACTGTATCACATCCAATCAACCTGTGCTTTCCGGAATGGAAGATCGCGTAGTCGAAGCATCAATTCAAATACCGGCCTCCTTATTCTATCAATTACAACAGCAGGATATCGTGTTGGATCATAGTATGCAAAAATTGCTAATTGTCATGTTGAGTAACAGCAAGCTGTTTCATTTGGACGATATCTATACGGATCGTGATCTTACGTCTGGGATTGTAGGAGTTAAGTTAGGTTGGTTTTGCAATAAGCGCACTTATCCACGATTAACTAACCATATATTTCAGGAAACCTATTAGTTACGAATCTAACCGATCCCATATATGTAATGCTACGTACGCCACCTAAGATGATTTTTGACGCTATTTCAGTTACTCCAGTCTGGTGGAACGTACATGGCGCCACTGGTAGAGGAAATTGGTCATCGAGCGGGTGCGAGCTCAGTCACGAGGTGCAAGATAGCATAGTCTTCCATTGTAACCAGTTAGGGTATTACGGACTTTTGCAGAATATATCGCACTCGAGTCCAGTAAAAGTAGGTGCCAAATTTCGATTGTCACATCCAGCAATATATGTAGGTAGTCTTATTTTATTTCTCTCACTGTTTTTAGTCATACTGTCGTACTGCGTGTGCTATATGTCAATTCAAATGCCTAAAAAGGCAAAACACTCCCTAATTAATATGTGGATAGCTGTGGTCTTGCTACTTTTTGTATACGTATTCGGTATTTACCAAACCGAGGATGTTCAACTGTGTCAAATAATTGGAGTTATCTTACACTATCTCACTCTATGTTCGCTTTTTTGGATGTGTGTCGGTTTAACTTCGATGTATAAACGTTTAAATAGGAATGAAATAACAGAGTTGCAAGATGACGAATTGCCATCGGATCAGCCTATTCAGAAACCAATCTTAGGCCTATATCTTATCGGATGGGGGATTGCCTTAATTGTATGTGGAATATCTGGTGCCGTAAATATGAAAGATTATGCGGCCCAAACACACTGCTTTTTAAGTTCAACGCCCTCTCTCAGTGCTTTGGTTGTACCGGTGATTGTGTTGCTTCTAATTTTGAGTGCCTTATTTTTGTTGATACGTTGCGCGATATATAGCTCAGATGTAAATGGCCATTTGAGTGAAGGTACTCAAGTGACAGAAAATGTTGATTTAGATATGTTAGAGCCGAGCTTTCCTAATCCCGATCATACTAGCATTAGAAGTAGTTCCACCAAAACCAGATCCAGTGAAATTGAAGATGCCGAACATATACCCTCAACGCAACTAAAGGCTTACTTTATATTTTTAATCATTTACTTACTTTCGTGGTTCAGTTGTGCCTTGGCAACAGTAAAGCCGTTTGCATTTCAATACGAAGAAGATATTTTTAGCGTTATTTATGCGATATTTGCGACTGCACTCGGTGCATTTACATTATTTTTTTACTGTGTAGCTAGAAGTGATCTACGTACTCAATGGTTACTATTAAGAAACTATTTTAAGAAGAGAACGGTATGTTTTCGATCGCGTAATATATCGGACACTGCTCAAAATCTTCCACACATTCAAATTCAACCCGGCTGCACGCCGACGGTCGCTAATGCCGACGTTCGCGCAACATCCAGATCAAGTAGTCGAAGTTCAAGTCACACGAAATCCAACTCGAACAATAGCAACGTGCTCAAAGCGGCCATTAATTTAAACACTGTTAATACGGAAGAGCCGCTTGGTGCAAGAGTAAACAACGTAAATCTAGTGGTATTGCATAGACAGCAATACAGAACCAATGCGGTTATACCCAACTTAATCGAAAATCCCGCGACTTCCGCGCAAGTATTTTACAACCCTTATCAAAGCACAGTTGCTAGGAGATTTTTTAAAAAGCAGCGCCAGCACATGATGAAACGAAACAATTTAAATATGCAGAAATGCGTCGGCCAAAGCGAAAGCACGTCCGCGGTATCACTAAAACCTATAACTGACAATTCCAGCATAGATCAAAGCATATTCGGCACAAACTCCAAAGTTAACAACACGAATATACACGTCGAGCATGTTCGTAAAACGAAACAGAAAAATCTTAACGTTTTATCCGATAGCCATGACGAAATCAGCCTAAATAATGTGCCTATAGAGAAGTTGATGATGAATGCGGAACGATTGCGTAAACGCGAGTTGAATCGACCGAGGATTAGAAAAAAACAAAATTTACCGAATAAGATCGAAAATAAAGATCACGTCGAAGAAAATAATATGCGTTCCGTTTCGCAACAGTGTAGTTTAGATTATAGTTCCGACTCTACCTCACTTTTGGATAAAAGTTTAAGTTTCGATAAGACCCCTGCCATTCATAATTCAGAAACAGTGTCTGGCAAAAACCGATCCAGAAAGCAGCAATTGTTTAAAAATAACAAAATCATTTCTCCGTGTGAGGAGCCGTCTGATTTAAGTTTAAGTGTAATTGAGTCCACGTTTAGCGAGTTTAGTGAGCCAGTTCCAAAAATATATGTGAATCCCACTCACGATTTTCTGTTTCCTAAAAGAGTACAAAGTAGAGCTAGTAGCGTTTCTACCAGCGAATTAGACGAATTATATCAACAAATTAGGAGAGGCACAGAGTCGCGACATAAATGTAATGATGGCAGCCACCCGTCGCGGTTTCAGAATTGTAGATTGAGATTGTCTGATCCTGAAATTAACTTTAGCTTTAGTGATTTAAAAAATCGATCTCATGTGTCGTTTAGTATTGATAATATAAGTGATAATGTAGAAACTGTTGTGTAATACCTAAGTATATAGTATTTATTTTTTATCGTAAGGCTTTAATGTTGTACATATTGTTTTATAAAAGATTATATTCTTAGCTTTTTATATTTTGACAAAAATCTATTTAATTAAATTGTAAGAAAGATCGAGTTCGTTTAACTGTTTGCATTGCATTGTGGAGATATAGTCATAGTGTATCATGTCTTTGTGCTTTTGTAAATTATTAACTTAGATAAATACAAACATCCAAGTGCACCTTGCTGAATTTATTTCTACCGATTGATTTACAAAAAATACGCTGCAAATCAATGTTTCCAGTACTTTCGTAAGACCCAGTTGACCCACCAATATATTACAATATTATTATCGGCTTTATGGTTCAGTGGTAGAGCGTTGGACAATAATCCGGAGGTTGAGTGTTCGATCCTGGGTTGAGGTGAATTTTTCATCTGTGGCAGAGATGGGAATTACCTTAGACCAGTTTCGAGCATTCTGCCGGCTACTCCGCATTAGGTTTTCCTAATTCGTAAGGTAAATACCGGGGTAGTATAGAACAATTTAAGACCTTCTGCAGAGGCACCTCTAAAAAGCATTATGCGGGTCACTCTGGAATTGGTCGCGAGCCTGTTGAGGGCCCAGAACAATAGAGGGATAATAAATAAAATAAATAATTATGTATTGTAATATGTAGTTCGCCAATGTAATAATATTATCAGTTATTATCAAATCTTGAAATACATTTTAGTCTTTTGGACAAACAGAAAGATAGTATTACAGTGATGTTGTGAGCTTTGAATTCAGTACTAATTATTGTGTTTCAAAATAATAACCAGGAAAATAGTACATTAATGTGGAATAGGATTTTTTAATTGTCATTGAAATTGGGGTATGAAAGGACACGAAATATTCTATTTCTGCATGGAAGGGAACAATTTATTGGCCTACGATACACAATATGTCCAATGTGAACAGCCTCATTTGGCAAATTTGCAGCGATGTGCTATCAAAGCGACGCCGAAATAAAACACATCATTATCATGTTCTACGCGTCTTATACGAAAATCGTCCCAATTAACTTTTCCACATGCACTGAAGCTGTGTCGCCCATGAGGAGAAAGGACCTATAGATGCAGGATGTCTCAGGTCGAGTGGGATTGCATGCGTAAATTTGTTATTATTGAAGGTAGCAATTAAGTTAAATGAGCAAAGTTTTGGATTCTTATGTCCTGACTAAAATGACATTAAAAAATGTACCAAACCGGACCCAATTAAAAGTTATTATGAAAATTTCTTACTGTTGGACTTTTGCATTAAGTTTTGTACGTAGATCATATGATCTAAGGTTTTGTAAGCTTTTTTGAGTGATGTCACATGATGGTACAAGGAATACTAGTGAGAGGTTTTACCCTGTATATACAACTTACGACGATGCAGACATTTTTGAGAGTTGGCAACCACTCATTTTTTAGGAGGGGATAAAGTCACTAAATATAGAAAGTACCGCAATCCATTGGGCTCGTGTGTTAGAGAGAGAACGCATGATTTTTGCCCAAAAATGGCGGAAGTTACCAGATTCTAGTAACTTTAATGTTAGGGATTGTTTCACCTGTTTGGAGATATCTGTATATATTTTTATAAAACATGACAGTACTATGAAGGTTATGAAAAATGACAGCTATTCAGATTTATTTATTTGTCAATTTTTAGCGCATTTTTGCAAAAAATTTTTTTTGTAAAAAGTAGCTTTTAATCTCACTTTGGCTGGCTGGCTGGCTGGCTGGCTGGCAGCAAATGTGGGCGCGTAGAAGAACTCTTGTAGAAAGGCAACGGGTGTACGTGTATCTACAGGGCCGTGAAATTTGTCAACCTTAGGGACATGGCTACATGATGTGGGGTTGGCGACATCTGGGCGTCATCCTCGAGCGTAGTATACTAACGTGAAGGTTTTTCAGTTTTTTTCCTATCTTCTACTACAGTTTTGGTCCGATTCTTTTGAAATTGGTGTCGTCGGAAAGATGTTGTAAACGCGCACAACTCCTGCGTGGCGGAATTTTGTTTTTTGTCATAGGGGCGAAATTAACGACCTTTTGCGAGGCGGCGCGCGCGTCTTCGAGAAGTAGTCAGGCGCCTTTTACCTTCCGTTGCGAACTCACGCGGTTTAACGTTTCGTGAATCTCGAATCGCTGTCTCTCTTTCTCGTGTCGCCAATAGAAGTGAATTGCGAGTGAACGGGACGTCGGAAGTGGGTACCGTAAAAGAGAATGTGTCTCACTGATGGTGGAGTCAAATCTTCAATCGCGAATTGCGGGTGAACGGGACGTCGGAAGGGGGTACCGTCAAAGGGAATGTGGTAGCCCCCGACACGATCTTCCTGATGGTGGAGTCAAATCTTCAAACGCGAATTGCGGGTGAACGGGACGTCGGAAGGGGGTACCGTCAAAAGAAATGTGGTAGCCCCCGACACGATCTTCCTGATGGTGGAGTCAAATCTTCAAACGCGAATTGCGGGTGAACNGAATTGCGGGTGAACGGGACGTCGGAAGGGGGTACCGTCAAAAGAAATGTGGTAGCCCCCGACACGATCTCCCTGATGGTGGAGTCAAATCTTCAAACGCGAATTGCGGGTGAACGGGACGTCGGAAGTGGGTACCGTAAAAGGGAATGTGGTAGCCCGCGACACGATCTTCCTGATGGTGGAGTCAAATCTTCAAACGCGAATTGCGGGTGAACGGGACGTCGGAAGTGGGTACCGTAAAAGGGAATGTGGTAGCCCGCGACACGATCTCCCTGATGGTGGAGTCAAATCTTCAATCGCGAATTGCGGGTGAACGGGACGTCGGAAGGAGGTACCGTCCAAGGGAATGTGGTAGCCCCCGACACGATCTTCCTGATGGTGGAGTCAAATCTTCAAACGCGAATTGCGGGTGAACGGGACGTCGGAAGGGAGTACCGTCAAAGGAAATGTGGTAGCCCCCGACACGATTTTCCTGATGGTGGAGTCAAATCTTCAAACGCGAATTGCTGGTGAACGGGACGTCGGAAGGAGGTACCGTCAATGGGAATGTGGTAGCCCCCGACACGATCTTCCTGATGGTGGAGTCAAATCTTCAAACGCGAATTGCGGGTGAACGGGACGTCGGAAGTGGGTACCGTAAAAGGGAATGTGGTAGCCCGCGACACGATCTCACTGATGGTGGTGTCAAATCTTCAATCGCGAATTGCGGGCGAACGGGACGTCGGAAGGGGGTAACGTCAAAGGAAATGTGGTAGCCCCCGACACGATCTTCCTGATGGTGGAGTCAAATCTTCAAACGCGAATTGCGGGTGAACCGAACGTCGGAAGTGGGTACCGTCAAAGGGAATGTGGTAGCCCCCGACACGATCTTCCTGATGGTGGAGTCAAATCTTTAAAAGCGAATTGCGGGTGCACGAGGAAAGTGGGAAGCGGTTAGTGAATGTAGTAGCCTTCGACAAGATCTGTTATTGATGGTTGAATCGAAAGTGGCTAATAGAATACTGATCTGCCACACAAAAATGCGCTGAAGTCCCTTCGATCTCAAACGAGGACTTTGATAATTTTTTTAAGTTAAGTGTTAATCAAATTGCCCAAAAATGGCCGATGATTGCGGTACTTTCTATATATAGTGACTTTAGAAGGGGAAAGCTGTTTGCACCATCTAGAGAGCACGAACGTTGGTTACGTTTGGCGGTCATGAAATCGTGATAGTTTGTTACTATTTTTGCGTCATTTAATGCAGGTAGTAATCTTTTCATTTCTTTACAACGTATTTGTGTTTTGTATGTAGCATTTTATATTTTTGTGAGTTTCAATCTTTGGTTTTGAAATTGACTTGATTTAACGTTAATGAAGAATCACATATTTGATACCGTTATCCTTTTGTTTGTAATCGTTTACGTTTTTGGTGTAATGCTTGCTTAATTTATGTTTATTGATGTTAATTACTTAGTCTTGTCCCTGAAGTAACATTCATATAAATTTTGGTTTTTCTTTTAATATGAGCTACGACACCTAATTCCGTGATTGTCTTCGACATTCAACTAGGCTCGAAACCCCGAAACTAGGGGCAAATTACCTATCTTGGGACAAGATGACGCTAATCAAAAACTCTTCGGTTTCGAATTTATGTATGATATATGAGTTGCGATTCAATGATCTCCACATATTTTGTCATATTTGCCTACAAGGCCGTCTAATTTTCCATCTTGCTCTTAACAAAGAAGAGTCACACTCTGTGTATTTCACTCTTTCTTAGAATGCTTGACACCTGGTTAGGTATTCCAAGCTTGTTTTTAATTTTGACTACAACCAACTTGATGGATTTTATTAATCAAAGGCCAAGATTGTTGAATATTTGCACTTAATTGGAATATGTGATATACATTCTCATTTTGAAATCTCGACTTGTGCGTTGAGGGTAAAGGGTACCGCTCACTAAAGCGTAGCGCCGCAAAGCGACGCGAAGCGCGCGGCAGCACAGCGGGGCGCATTTTCGTGCCTACAGACACATAGAGTGCGCTGCACCGAAGCAACGCGGAGCGGCACTCTGTCATCTATTATCTCAATCTTCATTTAATAATTATGTCCTCTAATGAGGAAGATGTGTTTATAATTTCCGCTTTATGCGAAGAAACAAAAAAGGCCGCTTCGTTGCGCTGCCGATCGCTGCTCATCCGACAAGTGTGCGCGCTCTCATTTAAAACCAAATCCGTCCCGCGGCACGTCGCCGCACTTCGGTGTAGTGAGCGATTACCTTAAAAGTGCAAATCGGCTACCTGTCACACGCCAGAGATATATTTATGTGTGTATTTGCCTTTATGTGTCTTAGAAAAGAACCACCTTGCTAATCGATTCTTATATGTAACCCTTGACATGTATTGACTGAATATTGGTCTTGTATCAACCTTTTGTTAAGTCGGTGCAAAAATCTCACCGTCCTGTCGAGGCCTACGTGATACATATTTTGTTAATATTGTTATAATTTTATGTTTGCATTCATTATTTTACGTTCCTTCGCTACTAACAGTACTTCAGGTCATAGCGTTGTTTACATTAACGTGAGGGGTCAATGGCCCATATGAATAAAAGGGAGCATATGCTTATACTTGCAAAATTCAAAGTAAATACTGGTAAGTGCCCCTCACACTGGGGGACTTTAGTAGCGCCGCTTAGCCACGGGACGGGATGCAGTGCAGAGTTGCTGAGCAGCCCAGTGGAAAGGGGCACTCACGAGTATTTACTTTGAATTTTGCAAGTAAGTACCTATAACCTTTTATTCATATGGGCCCCTGTCTAGATGTTTGATCACGTGCCATTTTTCAAATTTAAGCGGGATCTTGTTTAGTTTTGGAGGGAATGGATATTGGGGTGGCCATTTTTAAACGTTGCCTGGTTGACTTTATTTCCGTGTTTTTGTAGTGTGAAGTTATAGCGTTGAACCTGGGAGTTAAATACACATACACTTCACTAATAAAATCAATTATTGTTCATTTTAATCAAGTAGGTTTTGTTGGGCAAAAGGTGTCAACTTTTAGGGTGGGGGAAAAGAACGTTGAATAAGTTTCTGCGCAAGCACACCACAGCTTTGTTAGTTACATACTAAGATATGTATGAACTAAAGATACTTTTCAAAAAAGTGAATCTAGTGGATATGCTATGAAATGAATTTATTTATTGTCCCTCTCTTGAATTTGCGCATGATGATACAAGCAAAGATACGGCAAGATCATCTTTGCTCAATTCTTTGCGAGCGCGTTGCGTTTGGGATTACTGACCATACATGACGAAGGTGAAAATCACCTTCCCATGTTACGGTCCTCCAGTTTGAGGTAGCTTAAGTGACGCTTAACGCGACGTGGGTGAAATAATTGATGGGTAAATGTATCGATTTTTAGGTCCTATATTCTTTTGATGTTCATTAAATGTTCACCTAAGGTCATTTCGCGAACATTATAACTTTTGTCCATAAAAGCAAATTATGCGACAAGTATTTATTAGTAACAATAAAAGTACTTTTATTACTTGTGTAGCGCAAGTGCGCCACACATAACCACAGATAGATTTTTAATTTACAGTGCAGGTACAAAATTATCGTAAATATAAAATATTAAATTCAAATACCTATACTAATTATTTACTAGGTGCCGTTAACGTTTTGCGGAGAATACGGTGGTAACGTACCTTCACGACTATATTTTCTACCTTTGTCACCAGAATGTCTCCAAGGAGCAGTTAGGGCCCACGAAGTGTGCGCGCTTAAAGGTGGAGCAGATGGCTGAATCGCTCGTCTCTGTTCTTCCAATGTCTGCTGCAGCCATAATTCCGCACTTCTGTCTCTTTTTCTAATGGCTTGTTTACGTTGAAATTCGATGAAGATACACGACATTATTCCAAGTAATATCAGAATGACCAGCAAACAGTACAAAGTTATTCTCCTACTTTCACCTGTCGTTAACACGCCAACGCAAATTCCGACGATCACAATAATTATTATAATTACTATGATTATCGTTAATATTAAGAGACTGCCGCGCCTTTCTAAAATATGTGCGATACGTTAACATAAAATAAGGAAAAAAATACAGTCCACCAACCTGTAGTTCGTTTCGAATTATCCATTTATGCAAGCAGTGAATGTAGAACATCACATCACACGTATATTTGTTTCGAGGTTATGAAAATGAAAAGTAATTTAGATATCGGACTTCATTATACACTAAATATAAACAGGTATCGTACCGAGGTAAGTAGTATTCGAATTAGATAAAGCTCACTTTATCAACAGTTAAAGTAAATAATACGATAACCTTTAATATGGAAGAGTTATCGAACTTAAATAACTTTCTAAAAACTTCTGCGGAAGATAAGAGGTAATAAAAGTTGCATGGGAATCAACGTCAAATTTCTAATTTTTATTACCTTTTCTACCAAATGATCTATCGTCATCATATTCATAGCTCTTCTAGTGAAAAGCGACTGATGCACAAAACACGTTTGCCTTTGGTGCTAAAATCTGTTTAGCGCAGGTAAAAAACTATTGCAATTTCGGGAGTATTGATTCACTTTCTTATGTCGGTAGGTATACCTACGTCCTTACGATTTACGAATCTTTTGTAACAAATGAGTGTTACAATGTTAAGGGTTCAAAACGTGCGAGGAACACATTAGCTGCCAATATAACATCACAAGAAAATGAAGAATTATGTATTATCAAAAAATAATTGTTAGTTGGTGAAAACGGTGAGATAATGCATGAAGTTGTTCATATTTATCGGTAATATAATGATAATACAATAGGTCGCGGTCTGGTTTGAAGCTCTGCCTTCATCGAGGGGGTGTTGACGGTATTCATCAGGAATCCATCAGTGGGTAAAACGATTCCAGCGATCTAAAAGATTCTAAACAGATTCATTCGGAAACCAATTGAAACCCAAAACGTTACATCAAAAATATAAATAGGAACTCCAGATTCAGTAGAAACGTTGAGTGGAGAGGAAAACACGGACAAACTATACCATTACAGGGAAATCTGTATTTATTTATTTTTGCGTTGGTCATGTTTGGGAAACTTTGCATTCCGGTCGGTTCTCCAGCCATAAAACATTGTTACCAGCGTAGCAGCGGCGTCTTCCGTGGTTTTGCGTGAGTGAGGCCCCCGCCAGCAGAACCTATAAATACAATCACCCTAAATCACTTCGGAGGTCGTATCAAGTCCTCCTCTTCGGTTGTGAGATGGTGCGAAGAGCGTCGCTATCAATAAAACATAAATGCCGCTTTAAATCACTTCCCATGCCGCCGCAGCGGCCTCCTCCGTGATTGTGCGGGGAAGATGCCTCCGTCCGTTATCTTAACAGTATTCTAGGTGTTATATACTTATGTGTGCAGGTGTTTTGTGTGTCCATCCATTCTTGTGTTGTCTAACTACATGGCCATTGTTTTTCTTCCGTTTTCTCCTTCCGACACCTGATTTGACTTTTCGAAAAATTTTTGCCGCCATTCTTCTTCCGTGGACAGGGCGGTCACATGTTTTTTAGGCAGCTGACCCCCGCACGCACCTGTTCGACATCTCCCGCGCCACTGTGCTGCACCTGCAGTTAGATATATTTTATTTTAAACAAAGTTTTAATTTTAGTTCAACAAGCTTTGAATACAAAATATATTTTATATTCAAAGGTTCAAGTGAGGATACCCCTAGAGTTATGCAACACAACTCACATCAAACAGAATCGAAGTACGGAAACACATACGAAATGCTATGTATATGTTGTGTATAGTGGTACACGATAAATTTTGTTTATATGCTAAATAGTATGCGTACTGCTTTGTGTGGCCATTTGTACCTTTCGTGTTAAATTTATGCCCATGCAATTTAGAGCCATGCCATTTTGATGTTGTTATGTAACATGAAATTTACCATTCATAAATTAATAAACAAAGCCTAGCGCGACGCAGCGTATGGATTTCATAGGGTTTTGAAAAACGGAAAATTATAAGTAATCGTATGAACAGATGCAGTATTTTTTTCTCTAAAAAAACGTATTTAAACTTTTGCTCTAAAATAATTAGGGGAGCTAGTAATTGCTATAAAGAAATTACCATTGAAATCCCGTTACAAGATGATGTCAACTATAGCGCGTTCGCAAAGATTCGCACCTCCAGATCACGAATAAGTTCGCGCTCGCCAGATGCAGTATGGGGTCTTATCACGAACTTATAAATTAAAATGGACTGCTGATCAAACAGTTGCATAGAGGTAGAAATGGCCCTAAAATTCTCGATGGAACATAAATATTCGTAAATATTTGTTGTCATTTGTCCATAACCTCATTTTAGATTTGTATTTATACAATGATTTAGGTAATCGACAAATCTGTATTCTAAAAAATGACTGAAACGATTTCACTATTATTTATGATAAACAATGAGGAATATAAATTTGAAATTCCTGTAAAGAACCAATTTTTGGCGTTCACTTTAAAGAGTAAATGCAATTTTTTGTAAAGTAGGTAGAAGTTATATGGCTAGTTCATCATCTTCGCTATCGCTAGATGACAACAAAAAACTCTCCAACGCCAGAAACAAATTCAAATTGGCGCACTTTTATTTTGAAAATTTGCCAATGGAACACAGAAAATTGCCCTAAAATTACCAATAGAACGTAAAAATTGCACTCGTGCAGCACGAGTTTTGCCAATCGAAAACGCTATTAGAAAACGTGAGGTTTGCTCAAGGTTGTTTTATTAGAAAGGTTGTCTGGTAACTCTAAACCAATAGAATTTTGAAGGCGGGAAAACGTCATACAGAATTCACATTTAAAATTGCGCATGCTCATAGGTTACAAAAAAAAGGGGTACAAAATTTAGTTTTTGCAGTATATTTTTGGATTTATATGGGTATATGTATATGAGGGTGGATCTTATATTAGAAATCTTGGAAGTTTATCGACTTCCACCTTTGAAAGCAATCAAAGTATTGCAAAAATGAGTGTGGTGCGTAAGCTGTTTTACATTGCACGAGGACTTGTGAAAATGTAATCAAATTAATTTTAGAGGTGGAAATGGATAAAATTCCGCGTTCTACAAAATAGGAACCACCCCTATGTACCATTACCTAGCCTTTGGGAATTAAAACTCTAAACATTATTTAGCGGATGACGCCAAATAAAATGCTGTTGCGTTTTATGGAAAATGTATATTTATATTATGTACAAAATGGTAACCGAGGTGCACACGGCGAGCTCTGTCGTTGGGGTGAGCCCAGATGCAGGTCTTCTGACTGATGGAGTGTGGCGCGAGGTCGATCTGGCAAGGCGACCTGGTTCTGCAGGTGGAGAGCTTTTTGTTTTGTTGAAGTGCAGTCGAAGCAGAAATTGCGTTGCACTTTGCAGAGTTCGTGGCTCTGCTTTTAAACGTTTGTGGCCAGGGACGCTACGCTTTCATCGGTTGGCCGTTTTGACCAATGAGGGCGCAGCACATTTTAGTTTGCTGCCGGATGTGAAACATTTTCTTGCCCATTCTTTAAGAACGGTAGGGTCCTTGGGAAACGTAAAAACCGAGATTTTATTTACACCAGGATGAGGAATTTTAGTGTTACCGCCACTCATCTAAAAAAATACTTAATTTTAACATACAAAAGTGCATATAATTGATGAACTAACCTTTCAATCACGGCTATGAAAACCCACAAAATTCACAAATTAAATATCTTTATATTGCACCGAACAGGTATCTATAGCTAAAATATGTCCTTATGCACTTCAAAATTAAACAAATAAACTATAACTCAAGAAAAATAAGCACCCGCGCGACTACAAACAACGTTGAACGTCAATGTCAGAATTCTTGATGACGTATACATTCCGTCCCTCCCGCTTCCGCCCACATAATTACCAGGCATTGAGTTAGAAAACTAATGGAGGGAATATAATGGTAGAGGGGGTAAGAATTTTTGTAGACGGAAGTTGCCACAGATAGAGGCCACTCGCGTGGATAGGTTCCCGTGAAGGTACATTTTGGCCGACATTATTTGACATATGAAAACGCGGGTCCTGTCACTGTCAGTTTTCCACCAAATTCAAATTTTATTAAATTTGCCATTTTAAAGTACCTAATAATTTCGGATCGGTTTGTGCTCTCGTTTATAACTAACTGCCGCCATAGAGTAAATAATTATTTACTCTATGCTGCCGCATAGTGTTTTTATCACACGCAATTTTGTGAATTGAGAATGATTAGCTGCGTATCATGCAAAATTTCTCATAAAGGGAAGAAACAGGGCATTTCCTTTCATCGGTAAGACATGTCATCTATCATGTTGTAGGCGAGGTTGTTAGGTACCTAGTTTATGTTTCTTAGTTTTCCAAACGAACCAGTACTTCGAGCAAAATGATTACCTAACATTTGTAAATATATCTCAAGAACAGCTCTCGAAATTTACTTTTGTGCTCACAACGCTTCATTGACTGTGATTTCGACCAAAGGTTGCACCGGAAAATGTTCATCAAAGATCTCGTCAAATATGCAGTAAGTACTATCAAAACTTGTAATGAACCTGAGACCAACCAATCAATTGTAGCTATTGATCAACACAGTGAATTTAATGGGAGTTGTCAAGTTGTAGTGGCTATAGTAAACTGGCCTTAATTATACTAATGGAACACATCGATGTATATTTAGATTTGTAATCAATGATTATATTAAATCTGCATACTTTCCCATCCTTGTCTATTTTGTTTACTTTACCACGAGCACGAGCATATATTTTACTCCTTCTATACGTTTTTTTTTGTTATTATTCCTATTAGTGGAAAGAAAATTATATCTCTACGCCACTGAAGTGAGACGCTAATGATAACGGAAGTGGTGTGGTCTCGGGTGTGGTACTTTAATCACAGTTAGAGGCCACGTTTGGTTCCCGTGGTCTACGTCTGGCCAAGCATTTGATTCCCTCCATTACTTTTCTAACTCAATGTTACCAGGTAACCTTTGAAATAAAATAACCTTGAGGTTTGCTTGTTTATTAGTTGATTTGAATTTCGCGCCTAGTGAGTTCACATCATGGCTGCCCCCATGTAGGTGTCATTTGTTAATTCAGCATTAGCAGTCCATTTTAATTTATAAGTTCGTGGGTCTTATGGTCTAATTGCCTCTCTTACTAGTTTGCGTCATTCTTCGATAATACTATCCTTGTTACCGCATTAATGTCAAATTAACATATGATTAAATGGAAGCATTAAAACAAAACATAATCTCCTTGTGCTGTCATTGTCACGTTTGGCAAGTATGCACTGTATGTCCATAAGCACCATACTGCATCTGGAGGTGCGAACGCGCTATAGGTATCCAACGGAATTTTTAAACTCACTGGAACTGCGCGGATTACCGCCATACAATCTCCAATTAAAAGTTGGATCCAAGGTGGATTGGTTGGATCCGTAATCATATGTTCCGAAAAAAACCAGCTACGGCATGCGGTAAAGAAATTAATGAACGTCATCGAAGCTCTAATTTCAAAAGGCGTCAGGCGAAGACGTTTTGATCCCGGAACGACAAATCGTTTACAATTTCCAGTGCGACTTGCATTTGGCAATGTCGATAATTAAATAGTAGGTATAAGGGCAACTATATTACCTACCCGCACCCGCCAGAAAACAAAACTAACAATGTTGTGTAACAAAAAGCATTACAATAAGCACTACGTTTTTGAAATAATTTTTTTATTATTTATAAAAAATCGATTTGAATATTCATAGCTCAGACAGGACAACGTCTGTCGGGTCAACTTATAAATTAAATGCTAGTGTCACCACCATTTTCTGTCTATACGCTTTACTTCTCGTAGTGCCCAATATAATGCACGGTAGCTTAGCTAGTTAGCTTTAAAAAAGCACTTGCTCTGCACAGTTTATACTACCTTTTAGCTCACACGCACACCTCCAATAAATAAGCGGAAAACCGCTTTTAGCTTTTATGACGGGGGCTGTCTACCGTAAATACAGAGTTGCCAAATACTACAGCTTTAAAACTGTCAAAAGACCTCGTATATATTTAAATATTTAATAATAAACAATAATTTGTTTTGTTTTATTTTTCGTACATTTAATTTTGGAAAAATTTACCCTCTCTTGGTGTTTACTTACCTACTGGAAAGAATAAAGAGGAGGAAGTATATTTTGAAAAACCCTTCAGTTATAGGTTAGGTTTTGCGTTTGAATGATAAGCAAGCACGTGTAATTATAATACTCAGCGATGGTAGGTATCTACAGCAAATTAAATTAATTTAATTTAAATTTTGTATGAAGGATGTTCTATCAAGACCAGCAGAAGAATTTGAAAATGACCAGACCGTAGAGGCGATGTGGGCTATGAAAGCCTTCGAGCATGCAGAAATTTACTTTAACGTAACTTAAGACACCTCACTTCTGCAATGCATAATTAACAAAGCCATTTTTTCAGCTTCTAAGCTCAGTCGATGCGAAATTATTGCATCTAACACCAATAGATGATTTAATTTATAGACTTTTCCGAGAGGATTTCCCAAAGCTTAATGTAGCCGTTATAGATGAAGATAATTTAAAAAGTACAGCTGAAAAGGCCAAATGGAGGCCTTTCTGTGAAAAGTTTAAAGACATTGTTGAAGACTATAGTTTTGGCACTCTGCTGCGTGCAGATGCCTCTAGAAATTATGACGAACAAAATTCCATTTTAGTTACTAGGATACAATTTTATGCTATAGAATTGGCGAGGAATCGGGAAGGCGTAAATGATGTGATACGAAGCAAGTTTTCAAATTCTGCCACCGCTGCTACAGTATAAGCAATTAACTTTTTGGTGTTGTTCAGTGAATCTTTTAGTTTTTTATATACCTATTTATATTTAGCTTTTAAGAGTGAAATTTAGTTTACTTAAATATATCTTGTGGTTTTGAAATTTTATTTATCAGTTAAATCTGGGCAGGTGAGTTCAGGGTGAAAAGTGTGGCTCGTCCTTGCACTCTCAAAAGTGCATTATTAAACGAATAAAAATCTTAAGGTCTTAAAAATATGAATGGAGGAGCATACATTGCCCAAGGACGCAACGTTACGTTACTCCGCCTTTGCACCTATGGGGCAAACCAAACTTATTTGCAATCCTATAACTATTTTACTTTATCATATTAATCCTTTTTGAGTAATTTATCCAATAGCAAGGATTTCAGGCAACTTTGAATCTACTCTTCTTGTATATATTTTTTAAAAGACCACGCTACAGCAAATAGTGAAGACCTACATCAAGATTATGTTTAATTCGGATTCCTGCTGCTTCTTAACGTGTATTTCCGTCAAAAAAGTGAGGGGGGGAGGGAATTTTTATCCCAATGCAATATCTCCCTTACTAGCGTAGGGGTGGTAAAATTGGAATATTTTTTTATATTCTCTACCATGTTGGCACATTGATTATTATTGTTAAGCACCTCTGACCAAACTAAAGACTGTTCATATTTATATCACCTACCAATAACATTTTACATTCATTATTATTATTAGTGACTAATGTACTATTAAACAGGTCTTATATAGAGTTTTCTCTATGAGGGCTATTTAATTTCTAAGTAGGTACAATTTTTTAGTTGCTAATTATATGTAGTTGTAGTGAAACAAATACATAAGGAATATAAATTGGAAATCTCTTCAAACTTGAAAGTTTTAACGTCATGCACATGCGATGTTTGAAACATGATTGGACTGACATTAGCAAGTTCTCTGGAAAGCAGTTAAATCCTGACAGAAATAAAAAAGGGCGATTTGAATTCACATTCAAGGTGGACCAAAGGGATGTTAAATATTGGGGGGGGGGGGGGGAGGATCGAGATCCATTGGGCTTACTCTTCCAATACATGTTGACAAATAAGAGCCACTTTTCTCTTATAAAGAATGTCGGTAATTTCTTCTAACGTCAAAAGACTTGAGATTCATGAAATTAAGGTCATTTGACAACCAATTTATCTTATAAACAAGTGTTAAGCAATGTGCGAATTGAAAAATGTAGAATACAAAGTTAGCCACAGAGTTCTGCTTGGAAGGTAGATCTTGCAATCGCAAGACAGCTTAATGAATCTAAATCTAGATTTTAACAAAACCTTAAAAACACACCGCACATTAACGGATGTTTTATTTGTTAATTAAATAAAAAAGGAAGGTGTACAAAATTAAGAAGCATCAACTGCAGCAGCTGCTGATTCCTCCGTGTATTTTCCTTTGTCTTTTCCCAATGCGGCCAGACGACCCTTTGCTCTACGGTCGATGATATTTTTCCTATCCTTATCCATTTTAAGTTTTACAATTACAACCTAAAACAAATACTTTAGTTACTACATTCATATCACGCAATCAATAGTTGCTTCAAGCACAAAAATCAGCGCCATAACTTAACCACAATTCAGAAGCGATATTAAGGACTAATGTCCTGATATTAAGAAAACCTTAATACGGAATCAGTACCAAAATTTGCTAGCTGAAGTCTTTGAATGGATGTTTGATGTCATCATTCATACAACTAAATACAATACTATGAGAAAATGCGGTAAGTAATTTACCTTTGAAGGATGAATGCCAACGTAAACACTTGCACCGTTAGCCTTCTCACGTTGAATTCGTTCAATATATATTACAAATTTCTTTCTGTAGACTTGAACAACTTTGCCTACTTGTTGACCTTTATAATGTCCACGAACAACCTATAACAACACTCATAAACTATTCGTGCAAAAATGGAAAAGACCAATATTACCTGCACTTCATCGTCCTTACGAATGGGAATGGATCGTACATTATACTTTTGACGAAGCTCCTTTGACAAGGGCGAGGACATTAGACGTCGACGAATATGGGACGGTGCAGAGAAGTGCCTCTTTCTGTTTTTCCTTCTTGAGGCCGTAACTAATTTGTTCAACTTCATCTTCTAACTTGTTTAGTACACTGAAAAAACGTGAAATTTAAGTATGTCACTTTTCTAGGTTATGTGTTGTAAAACTTAAAATACACGAAAAATAAGGCGATATACTCGAAAGAATGATCCGCAGTAAGTTGCGTTTTTGCAAAATTAGTAATATTAACATTTTGATTAATGGATGATTAAAGATTTTAAAAGACGTTAACACGTACCGATAACAAGTTAAAAAATTTTAGGAAAGGAAATATTCAACATGAAGTTGCAGCGCAAACGAACGTTGCTCAAATCAGGTTGTACCAACCACCGGCACAAAACATCAGCAACGTACGTCCGCCAGGTAGTTAGGGAATTTTTTTGTGCTGCCAACTTTCTTTGCCTTACTGGCAACCCACCTTACACTAGGAGAGAAGGTTCAGAAATTAAACATGAAAAGGACAAAAGGTACTGAAAATATGTCATCTAACTAACAGGTTTAGAGGACGTTTTATTGATTTTAGTCAATCACCTTGTTTGATGAGCCTGATTGGTCCAAGACGCTGTCTTTTAATTTTTCCTTTACTTCTTCTCCGTCTGACATGCCATCTGCGGTTGAGTAGTCCAAGTTGAATGCCTAGTGAGGGACTTTATCTAATGAGACTCGCTTTCGGCCGCTACATGCACTGCTACAGCCTTTTTTGTAACAAGAGATGAGTTTCAGCAGATATTCTTATTAGCGTAGGCGGTACAACTGAATATCGAGGTAAACGCTGCACTTTTTGACAAAAGCATAAAACTCGGTACACATGTTTATTAGGTCCAAATAAAACTTTTGACCCGCAGCACCCACCGAAATTTTCGTGTGGGTTCAAAATTTGAACACTTTTGTTCAAAAGGGTGTTCAAGATTTTAAACCTGTAAAAATTGACGAATTTCGGCATTCTAGGGGTCGTTTTTGAATTATTTAGGGTCGCTGGTACGAATGGCGGCATTAAAAAAGTTGTATATCTGACCCTTAGGCCGTAAATTTGGAGTATTTTCAAAATAATGGTTAAATTTTGAATTTGATAGTTTTAACCCTGCGTGATGTTTCGGATGTCGATTGCAGCTAATTTGGACGTGCACTACATGCTAGAAATGTTATATTGACGTTAAAACAGTTTCTGGTGTGTAAATAGGCCGTTAATCGTTCAATAATTTGTTCAAAATTTGGAAATTCTATACTGGAAGGATTTTGCCGTTCTTGGTGTCGTTTCCATATAATTTGTGGTTGCTGATGCTGATTTTGTATTCAGAAAACAGATGCGACTCATAGTTAGGCCCTTTTCATACTATTTTACCTATTAAGAGGGAATGTTCGGCGCAGTCATACCCTTGTTGCCCCGGATTGCAACAACTATTGAAAGACAAAGAAAGACGAAAGAAACGGGCATTTCAATAAGATTCGGAAGTGGACATGTTCTCTGACGGGATATGCCACCTATGCTTCCATTATTGCCCTTCCGGCATCGTTTGTTGGGAAATCTGTACTTCCAGTCAGTCTTGAGCTCACTCCACGACAAGTAACAGCACACACCGAGCAAGTTCCGTCCGACTTGTGCCCCTTGAAGCAAGAGTGTCGCCAGTTGATGGCCTAGAGATAGGCAAGTTGACATATGAAGGATAAAAAAATTATTAACTGTAGGTATAGTGCAAAGCACATAAACTTTTCTGTTTTACTGTCTTACCTCTACAACCACAATAATTGTAATAAGGAATTATCGGTCAAGAAAACCAAGACACTTTGGTTGCTTTGCATTTTGCTACTTTTTTTAATCTCTAGACGGGGGCAGCTTCCCTTCCCTGCCTCCTCTGGCGACGCCCTTTCTTTGAAGTGAGGATATCGCAACGATACCGCGTGAAACGCCATCGATCGCGACGCAGTGCCTAGGTGTTCCCAGAAGTCGCCGAGGCAGCCCCCAAAGTCCATCAGACGGCGGGCGATACGATTAGGCCGCGAGTCACAGGCGTTTTAGGCCCTGTGCGTCGCTGTAGGAACTCTAAGCGCATATTAAGAGACCGTTACCACCATGACCTGACCAGCCAGAAGCTGGTTCTGACCGCCAGTCTTCGAGTGCCTCTTCAGGTACATCAATAGCACTGGTAGAAGACTGAACTTTTAGTAAAAGTTGATCCAATTTAGCCCCTTGGAACTTCGATACACAGGCTTTGTGCCACTTTGTTTTGATATGAATGAAAGCAGCTTTAATCCTCTTCCCTTCGTTGAGTTGTTTTACCAGATAACCGGCCTCTAGCGTGTATGCATAGGGAACCAGAACCAACTTCCGGTGGTGGTAACGGTCTCTCAATATGCGCGCAGATTTCCTACAGCGACGCGCAGGGCCTAAAACACCTGTGACTCGCGGCCTAATCGTATCGCCCGCCGTCTGATGTACTTTGGGGGCTGCCTCGGCGACTTCAGGGCACGCCCAGGCACTGCGTCGCAATCCTGGTCGCGATCGATCGCGTTTCACGGTATCGTTGCAATATCCTCATTTCCAGGGGCACGATTCGGACGGAACTAGCTCGCTGCAAGATGTTACTTGTCGTGGAGTGAGCTCAAGACTGATTGGAAGTACAGATTTCCCAACAAACGATGACGGGAGGGCATTAATGGAAGCATAGGCGGCATATCCCGTCAGAGAACATGTCCATTTCCGAATCTTAAATGAAATGCCCGTCTCTTTCGTCTTTCTTTGTCATTCAATCCGAGACAGCAAAGGTATGACTGCACCGAACATTCTCTCTTAATAGGTAAAATAGTATGAAAGTATGAGTCGCCTCTGTTTTTTGAATACAAAATCAGCATCAGCAACCACAAATTATATGGAAACGACACCAAGAACGGCAAAATCCTTCAAGTATAGAATTTCCAAATTTTGAACAAATTATTGAACAATTAACGGCCTATTTACACACCAGAAACTGTTTTAACGTCAATATAACATTTCTAGCATGTAGTGCACGTCCAAATTAGCTGCAATCGACATCCGAAACATCACGCAGGGTTAAAACTATCAAATTCAAAATTTAACCATTATTTTGAAAATACTCCAAATTTAGGGCCTAAGGGTCAGATATACAACTTTTTTAATGCCGCCATTCGCACCAGCGACCCTAAATAATTCAAAAACGACCCCTAGAATGCCGAAATTCGTCAATTTTTACAGGTTTAAAATCTTGAACACCCTTTTGAACAAAAGTGTTCCAAATTTTGAACCCACACGAAAATTTCGGTGGGTGCTGCGGGTCAAAAGTTTTATTTGGACCTAATGAACACGTGTACCGAGTTTCATGCTTTTGTCACAAAATGCAGCGAAAAAATTTGTACCGCCTACGCTATATGGTTCAATCTACATTGGTGAAACTGGTACATAGGTCAGTAGCACCAAATACTGTAGCTAAAAGTATTTGGTAGCACTTGAATTTCCGAGCATGAAGGACATGTTCGAGGTCATCTTAGCTCTAAGGCAGCTGTTTATTTTCGCTAAACGCATAATATACTTATACAGTGAGTTTTTTTTAAATGCGAACATAGTTTGCATGCAATGTAATTTCCCTATGTTCGATTTTAAAAAAACACATCAATCTATGAGGTGTGCGCGGTTCACATTCCCAAATCGCGCAACTTGTGTGACTATGAACAGCAACTCTAATAGTCCTTATGATGAAGAGCACTCGGTAAGATTTCTTTAAAGAAGCCATGTGAGGCCATAGCAACTTAGGATACATTTTTCTGAAACTTACGATAACTTGACCTCACAGGCCACGCACTGACACCACAACTCATTGTGAACCAACCTTCAATTATTTGTAGGTCATGTGCACCTGGTATTCTACTAATTTGATCTATTCAATACATAAATGAAGAAAATAAGAAAATAAATACCGAAAACAATTACAATAAATGTTCGAAGTGTCCTTCTTGACATTCTAAACAATAACCTAACCGATTTCGTAATTAAATTGGACGGCGGTATTTTTAAAAATGTGACAGCTGTCAATTGTATCTACTACTCATTTGAACTACTCAATAGATTGATGTGTTTTTTTAAAAATCGAACATAGGGAAATTACATTGCATGCAAACTCCTATGTTCGCATTTAAAAAAAATTCACTGTATATATGGCTAAACGTAGCTGAGCTGGCCTACGCATCTACATTAATACTATACCTATACTGGGTGAGTTTTTGTCATTTTCACTAGGGAGATCTCGCAAGTAGTAAGTGAGATAAAGTCACTAAAATGGGCATAATTATGTAGTATTGTGTGCTGATTAATTTTCCCATTCAGAGTTTCTTGTAGATCTGCAACTAGCGAAGTGATGACCAAAAAACCGAAAAATGTCATTTTAGAAAATGCTCTGACGTTCATTTATTTTCAACCATAGATATTAAGAAATTATTTTTTCTGAAACAACTTTAGAAACAACTACTTGCGTCTCTAAAATGAGCGAAGAAAATGTGATTTTCCTCTCTAGTGAGGAAAGTAAAAAACAACTGCTGATGCGTTAATCTCTATTCTTTATTCATTGGTTAATCTTAATAATGACATTTAAAATCGAAACATACCCGTATCTAAATTGCTGTGTGTCAAACTTCATTATTGCATATGACTATTTTTCAATTTTGATTGTAGTTTCAGAAAAAATTATGTGTAAAACTTGAGAAGAAATTGTTTTTCAACTCTCGTTCAATTGACAGACTTGCTACGCTCATGTGTCAAACTTTGAACTCGAGTTGAAAAACTCCACTTTCTTTTCTACTTTATTTCTCATTGACGCCATATTGGGGTTTACGTCACTCGATAGAGAAAACATTACCAAACCAGTCATATAAAACATACACCGGTTGATTGATTTGCAATGCAAGTTCCAAACCAGTCAGATGCACAAAGCACAAGCAGTGTGCGACTAGAAAGCACCCTCTATCCACACACGTATGGAACTGGAGGTTTTGGACAACAAAACTCTTGTCATCCAATCAGAAAACTAATAGGTATTATCGAACAACTTCCTAAAATGGTGCAACCTCGCAACTGAAACCGTTTCGCGACCGGTAAAAACGTTCAAATCGGTCACGTTTAGGCCGAGTCGTAAATGTGGTTCTCCACTCACGTAGGTACATGGTCATGGCCATAGACCAACTATGGTCATGGCCATCAAACGATTTTACGCTCGACTAGTTTGCAATTTGGATTGCAAACCATTAGTAATTCATTTCGGAATCAATCTTGTATATGGTTTTAATTTGGTTTCAGTCACAAATAATTTCAAGCAAGCTATGGAATTATTGCCATAAGAAAATAATATGTACAAT